AGACAGACCTCGTATAAAAACACAATATTAAAAAAAATACATATCTATTTGTTTGTAACCAAATTCTATTATTAAAATTCTAAGGCTCAGTTGCACCATCTTACTTTAACTTTAACAAACGTCAAAATTCTGTCAAACTCCATACAAAAAGCACCGGTTACCGTTATAGTTACGGTCAAAGTTAGATGGTGCAACTCAGCCTAAAACTAAGAAAGATTGAAGAAAAAGAAACATTTCGTTTTAAACCTTAACCCTATGACAATAAAGTGCACAATGGTATTTCGTATTGCAACCTAAGCCCTGATTGTCTCTTATTGGTCGTAGTAAAAATATAGTAAAATGCGTAACCAATTAGAGACGGGGTGAGCACGTGCCCGGAGCGATGCGCTTACGCTAAAATTTCTACAAAGTGGTCAGGCGGAAGAGTCCCCGATAGTACATACTTCTTGATAATCCTTCATAGACTTTCAAATTCAAATTCAAATTCTTTATTGCTAACTAACTTTTCATAACATCAGTATGTCATAAGGATACAAATTATGTATTCTGTGGTAATATGTCCACTTCAGTTGTATTCTGCATTATGTTTTCCCATTACTTTTCCTGTACTTATTATTATTACAATTCCGGCCAACATATTTGTTATTATTGTGTACTATAAAGGCTCATAAACGTATTAAGTCCATCACGTTAGGTACGTAAAATAGATAGGGAATCTTACTTATTTTTTAAAAGAAATAAGCATTTATCTATAACTAGCTGTGCCCGCGACTTCGTACGCGTGAAAACAGTTTGTATACAGGGTGTTTCTTGTAAGGTGTCAAGCCGAAGGCAGGTGATAGGTGAGGACTAGACCTATCGATTTCACCCCCATGTATGTTTTACGATTTTTCGTAGTTTAGAAGTTATCGTTAATTTTGTGATTTTTTCAAATTTCATGACCTAGTGGCTTAATTTTTTTTTTATCTTTTTTTTGGGTTGACTTTTCTCAGATTTCATTTTTTTTACAGATTCCCTATTAGTTGCAGATATTTGAAAAAAATAATCACCTTCCTATCTTTGATGCAAGATACAAAATTTTTGCTAGAAACATAAAAAATATGCTTTTAGCAGAACATTCTAAAATGATTACAGAAAATAATGGCCTATTAAGTACATGTTTTTTTGTGTTATTATGAAAGTTTAAAAAACTGCGCAGTTTTTAAAATTATTTTGGACCTATGGAAATTCTTTTTTTTCTCATACATTTCAATTGAAAATTTTAGAATGTTCTGCTAAAAGCATATTTTTTATGTTTCTAGGAAAAATTTTGTATCTTGCATCAAAGATAGGAAGGTGATTATTTTTTTTTTAAATATCTGCAACTAATAGGGAATCTGTCAAAAAAAAGAAATCTGAGAAAAGTCAACCCAAAAAAAAGATTAAAAAAAATTAAGCCACTAGGTCCTGAAATTTGAAAAAATCACAAAATTAACGATAACTTCTAAACTACGAAAAATCGTAGAACATACATGGGGGTGAAATCGATAGGTCTAGTCCTCACCTATCACCTGCCTTCGGCTTGGCACCTTACAAGAAACACCCTGTATAATATTATTATGTCTTGGAGTTGACACCGTTTCTGTATTTGCTTAGCGTTTATATGATACTTAGTATATAGGGTGACTTTGCAAAGTGTTGTTTTTAGGAGCAACTCAGAATCAGTACTTTAATGGATTTAACTATTTTTTGGATATTTAATTATTTCTGTACGCTGCGCGTAGCTTAAAAATTGGCACTCGTGGATATTACGATAAAGTTGTATCTATTGTTATTTTAATATATAGAGATTATTAAAAAAAAGTTGTCAACACCTAGCAAAGTCACCCTGTTACATACTTAATAACCTTTATAATAAGCGCCTTCGACAAAATGGGCGTTCGTAAGCGTGTCAATAACATCTGAGTCTGACATATCCATTCAGCAGCCATTATCCAACTCGTCTGTCTGTCTGTCACAGTATCAGTACCTACAATAAAATTACGACAAATAACTATTTAGTCACGTTTTTATAAACGTTAAACGGCTAGTTATGCCGAATTTTAGATAAGAACCATTTTCGATTTAAGTAATATTTATTTATCAATGTAAGTTACTGTAAAATTTAAATTAATAAACTAAGCATTTTACTTACCAATAACGATAATGAATTACGATATCAGAACATTTTATACCTAATTTGGTAAATACAATTAGGCGATCTTATCACGTAATGTAGGTAGCTGTTGTGTCACTCATTAATAACACTGCACAACAAAATTGCAACTTTTGGCTGATGATTGACTTTCATTACATGATGTTTACTAATTTGACGTCGCTGATTCTGAATCTGCCGTCCATTTTTTCGTAGCAGCTCTTGTTTACGTGTTATAGCTTTCACTCAAAAATTGCTAAATTTCAGTCTTAATTCGCCGACAGTTCAAAAAATACTATGTTTTCTTTGTATAATTTAATATGGTAGCATTAAGAAGTGTTTGTGTGATTGATCTAAATCAATTTTGTTTCATTTGCGGAGAGGATATGTTTGAATAATCCGTTTAAATGTGACAAAGTTCGTAAAATTGGCTTACAAAAATTAGTTTGGGGACCCAGTGGAAATGAAAGATAAGCCTTGAATTCCGCAAAAGGCGTGGAAAAGATGCGTTGAGTTTTTACGTTTATAAACAAATAAGAATATGTGTAGATTTAGGTACGAAACCGCTATGATCTGAAAGGAACCCTTGAACCATCGCGACGACTGTTATTTTTATTTTTGAACAAAAATGGTATTAACCAAAAAATATTGAACTAAATGGTAATTCCTTGCATACGTTTGGCATGTAGATGTCTTTTCAACCCTAAGAAGTCACCTGAACCTCATGTTGATACTTCACATGAGGATTTTGAGGCGAAAACTGTCAGTGTGGTAGAGACTTTGAATGTGACCCGAAATTTTCAAAACCATGTAGCCAAGATGGTTTAAACGATCGTTTTAGAGATTTAGGATCTTCAAGTCTTCCGAAAAGACATGGAATGAGTTATTTTGGTATTTTAATTTTTTTTTGGAAAATCCGAAAAAATCTTACTATTCTTACACATCGAACAACGTATAAATCACTTACAAACATGTTTTTTTGGTTGGATGTAATATAAACATCGAATTACACTCTCTTCGCAATCACCTGAACAATTTTATCACAACTCTTAAGGATCTAAGTGAAGAACATGGCGAGCAAATCCACCAGGGCCTTCGTACGATAGAGGGACGCTATCAGGGCCACTGGAATGCACACATGATGGCTGACTGCTGTTGAATCATTCAGAAGAGCTGTCTGCCTTCAGCATCAGCAAGGAAGTCAAATAAAAGAAAGTTTTTTCAACTTAACAACTTCATAAAATAGGATCATCTCTAAAAAAAGAGTGTTTTTTTACAAAAAGACCCAAGTGTCATATTTTTTTAACCAGAGCTGATACAGACATTTTAATTACAGATTTGAAATCGTCATTAAAAATTGGACTAATATCATGTAACATAACCCAATCATCAGAAATGCTGTTGTGCAGTGTAATGATCTCTTTAATACAATCAAAGGATGACAAGTTGGAAAAATATTGATGAAGAAAATCAATAAGTACTTATTATTTACCAACTAAGTAAAAAATATTTCTAGCCTATCATAGAGAATTTACAGAGATCTATCTGAATTTAAAATAATAAAAACTTGTTACATTGGGTTGCGATGCAGCTCGTTTCCCTCTTTACCACTGGGCACTCTGGGCATGTCCCGGGCCCCAGCCTATACGGGGCCCCGTCTACTATTATAAACACTTTACTGAATAATTGTTTTATTGTAATTATAATGAAACTAGCGGCCGCCCGCGACTTTGTACGCGTGGATCCCGTTTTACTCCCTTAGGGGTGGAGTTTCCTACCTTGCCTACGTCATAACATCTACCTGCATGCCAAATTTCAGCCCGATCTGTCCAGTGGTTTGAGCTGTGCGTTGATAGATTCAAAATCACTGAATTTCTTAAGTGGCGAGTACGAGCTGTGGCAGTACGTAGTGTGGGCAGATCCCTGGATGGACCGATAGGTTGCAGGAAGGACCTAGATGCGGGCCTGGACCGGTCGTGGTGGAAATCCTTGAGAAAGACCTTTGTCCAGTAGTAGATAGTACTAGGTTGAAACGATTCGCTGAATAGTTACCTATTATGATTTTGTTTATTTCACTGGTATTTTAGAGGGACCCCGTTTTCATTAAGCGTCTAGGGCCCCCAGTAGGTTTTAGACGGCCCTGGACATACTGAGTAAGCTCGGCATCGCACGAGACGTTTCAATTTTCCGCAGAAGCAAATTTTTCAAGATTTATCTCGTTTGGACGCACGTTGGTGGCGCAATTCGGATTTATTTGCGGGTCAGAGTACAAATGTTACTTGAAATAAAAATAACCATTGCAAAAATCGTTCTTAAAAACAATATTATATTTCTTTTAGTGATACATTTTGAAGAATTAAAAAAAAATATAAAGTAGAAAATCATAAAGAGAAGAAAACTAATTGTAAAACGAAAGTAAAGCAAAGGCAATGATTAGTTTAACGGTTTAAGGGAGTAAATAACTAAAAATATTATTTTCTGTACATTTATAATGATAAATTAACGTATTTACAGTTTTTTAAATTATACAATAGGTAATTATAGGTAATTAAATGTAACAAATAAATTTTTATCAAGCTTTTCATTTTTGATATTGATTACCTACTTAACTAAAACTAGTCTTTGGCAAAATAAATTATTACAGAACGTTAATAGATCTTAGGTCTTTCAAACCCACTATTTATCTTAGATGACAATAATAATTGAAACTATATTACAATAATTATACCTACATTCTTATCGCTCAATTGAATTATTTATTTACAAATGAAACTGAAATTAAAACTAGAACAACATTTGTTTCGATTGATGATCGAGAACAACATTATTTTATGAAAAACAAGTAATTCCTTAATAATGGCGTTGTATACAATTCGCTACCACTAACATTTATCCTCTATGATATAAGTTATAGAGTTATGTCCAGGAAAATCCATACATTTACGTAACTCCAGGCGCGTTATTTATTTATAAATTTGCTAGATTAGAAATATGTACATTAAATAAAATAATAAATGATTTATGTTTATTAATATGTTATCGTCAAAGGTAAAGTCTAATCTCAAAATTTATTGTATCTATACTGAGCGTTGATATACTCCGGTTCCGTAAGATTTTCTTTTGATATTGTCAAAAGATATTTCGTATCAAAGTCTTCTACTACAATATTATTTTTCGTATAAGAAGATGGCAAGCAATCATATACAGCTTCTCCGGCCATTTCTGTGACAGGAATATTTGAAGGAGTATTATCGTATACATCAAGTTCATTATATGAGGCTGACTTCTCTCTAGATTTAGAAACCCTATGTTCTGGGCTGGTTATGTTATAATTTAATTCGAGCAAACTATTTAAATCTTTCAGGCTAGCAGACATACCGTTAATGTGGGCTCTGGCTAGTGCATCATCGCATATTTTCTTCATTTGATCTTTTAAAATCATTTGTTGATCCGTAGCTCTCTTAACTGACCTGTACACCTTGAAGTCTTTGCCTAAGCCTGTGTGCCTATTTGCTGTTATTCTTTTTAGATTACTGTTTGTTGATGTAGTTAATTTGTCTTCAACGTTCTCTATGTATTCTTCTTGTGCTTGGTTTACTGGTACATCTGGTATTGAATCCATTTTTAGTATGGTCATTTCATGGGATGCTTGTGTTTTTAAGCACCTGTTTAAGTCTGATATATCTGTGGCAGGTTGCGGTTGATTTGAAGGAGAGAAAATCTTATGATCTTTCTTTCTATTCCTATACAACATCACTGCCAGAATTATTATGATGATTACCAGTATCAATATTATAAATCCGAGGATGTAGGACGTCACATAGGAAGTTACTTGATGTTCCGGACATGATGGAGTTTTCGAAGATTCCATCGGTTCGGAAGTTTCAGAAGTTTTTAGAAAGAAAAGATCTGAAATTTATTATTAATAATAAATTAATACAATAAATACTACACAAAACAGTAACATACAAGAAAAGTATTTTGACAATTAAATGGTTCAAATAACTTATAAGCAACTTAATTATTTCTCTTACTACTAATTTTCTCAAAAAAAAAATCAGTTTTGCCTAAGTATCTGGCTATAGGTAATTGCTGCGTTTGGAGTTTATTTGTACTTTTTTCTTACTAATATTAATTGTACATGATCGCTTCGTTTATTTGTAAACAAACTTTTGAAAATAATGACTAGAATTCCAGTACACTTAGTAGCACTTTATTTTAAAAATTCCGAACTCAAAATTTTTAAAATATTTTTTTGGGATAGTACTATCGGCAACAGTGTTAACTGCCCATTGCCAGTCATGTCATCTCGTTCTATCTCAAAGAATCACCATTTGATTAGAGCGAGAGCAAAAACGGAAATGGATAGTTAACAGTGTGGCCGTGTGTACATTAGTAGAGCTTCCTCCCCTATCAGTTTGATTCACCCATTCTGGGACACCCTGTATATTTAGATAACACAACTGAACTTACGGCAACATTCCTCCCATCTATTAAAACGAATAGGAATATTATCATGAAAACAATATTCTTTTATAAAATCATCACACCAACTTCCCACGAAACACATAGCAAAAACATATAAGAATAACAATTTCATTGTCACTGAGACTTAAAAATTGCTTTAGACTCGACTACTCAACGCACAAAATATTCACGAAGTAAATGCCCATCCTTTGAAATGTGTCATTTGCATCGGAACAGGAAAACCAACAGGCGACGAGTCTTTTCCTATTGCGTTAATAAATATAGTCCCGATTAGTGTTGCCAGGAGTCCGGATAACACCCGACATAGTTACGCTTTTTGATTGCGTGTCCGACCAAAATAAACGGTGTCCGGCTTGTCCGGCTTTAGTTAGGCTTTTAACATATCGTGAGATTTGTGGCAATAATCAAAAAGCTTGATTTTACATAAAATTTTTGTCGTATCCCCATGATGGTCCGTCTCTGCACAGGGTACAATTTTCCTTTGTTTATGTTTATTTTGAACCCGCATAATCTGAACTTTTTTAGTGTCTGAAATAAAAAATAATAATTTTAATTTAATTTTTAATTAATACTGAGAAATCCTCATTAATTAGGGTGTCCGGCCTTTTCACCCAAATGTCCGGAAAAACTGGCTGGTCTATCCGGCTATTAGGTTTGGCGGTCTGCCCTGGGCAACTGGGCAACCCTAGTCCCGATGATAAACCATAATACAGCCATGGTACATCAAGCTAAATACTGTGGCATCTTAATAGTGGTATTTTTCAACAAAATGTGGTTTATTGTGCTATGGTATCTATTTTAACTGTTCATTTTCCTACTAATATTATAAATGCGAAAGTTTGTATAGATGTCTGTCTGTCTGTATGTTTGTTACTCTTTCACGCAAAAACTACTGAACGGATTTTGATAAAACTTTACAGTATTATTGTTTTTAACCCAAAATAACATAAAGGCTATAATTTATGTCAATCTGTGGCAAAATAAATTTCACGCGGGTGAAGCCGCGGGCAAAAGCTAGTAAAGAATATTTGCTGTTGTTATTGTTTCTCTTATCAATTTGTTCGTTATTTACGCACGGTTTTTGGTATTGTTTGTATAATCTACGTATACAGGGTGTCCCAAAGAGAATGTGCCAAACTTAAGGAGATGATAGAGTAATGGATGACCATCCATACAAAAAATTTTTTTTTGAAAAGTACTTATCACCAGGTGCCGTGCATAGTTAGCTCGTATCTTATAAATTTAATTAATATTTAATTCATCAAGATATCGCGTACCGGGAAACTAAAGGTAGCAGGGAAGCGCTGGACGCAGGCCGCTACCAATCGATTGACATGGAAAGCATTGAGGGAGGCCTATGTTCAGCAGTGGACGTCCTATTACTGAAATGATGATGATGATGAAGTTGATCAAAAAAAATATGTGGAGATCCGGTCCTGCGATGCTTCTGGTATACCTACCAGATTTTCCGCTCACCTAGTGGGGGGCCTGCCTACACAACGTGTTCCGACCCGTGGCACCACTCGAGAACTTTTCTACCCCTCGTTTACGTCGATTTGATAACAATTGACGATCTTCACTCACTTTCATTACCTTAATAAAACAAAGACCATGCACAGTGACAAATCTTAGTAATTTGGATGACGTTGTATGTCGATAATTCTCTGTCTAGATTGTGGCCATGTTAATTGGTCAATAAATTACATCTACTGTGCTAGATACAGCTACACGGGCATTCGATTCAATAAACCATTTGTAACTTACAGAACCCTATCAATGTTACTCGTAATTTAACCGAGTATTCTTGGGTTATGAATGTTAGGCATGTAAATAGGTTTAATTTCTCAATTTCGAGTGCTTTAAAATCTAATGAAAAAGTTATTACAAAAGTTGAACGAGTAGTTGTAACAGAGGAGAGTTGTGACATTGTCGATTTTTTTAAACTCTTCAGCGAGCTCGTACGTAACAATGCTCAAAATTCGTAATTACAAAAAGACGTTCACAGCTGGACCAAAGTCTATACCAAGGATTCAAAGTCGAACTCAAAATTTATTTATTTGTGTAGACTATTTAAATACTACTTACAAATCGCAAATATTTTGCTCTTATGGCGCCTCTACCTACATGTCTCATAATCTTTTTAATTTACCAGCGCTTTGAAATCAACATTTGGCAAGTGCTAAGAAGAAGCGCCGCAACAAACTTAATCACCACTACTGCCGGTTGATATACCTACACGACAAACGGTCCAGCACTGTCAACATTCAGGCGCTTTTCACGACCTTCACCAGATCGTCGGTTCACCAAGTGGTTCAAACGAATATTTTTATTCCACGGCTAAGGTCTTGCATAAGAATCGAATAAAATGCCCGATGAAATCGTAAATAACCTTTACTGACCAACAGCGTCATAAAATTGACCATCACACTAAACCAAACACTTGTGGTGTCCGATTCTGACATAATTGCCCTGGCCATTAAACAAAGTTCTGTAGTCTTAGGCTGGATTGCACCACCATACTTTAACTTTGACAAACGTCAAAAATCTGTCAAACTCCATACAAATTGCACCGGTTATCGTCATAGTTACCGTTAAAGTTAGGTGGTGCAACTCAGCCTTATTTACGTAACAAAACTTCGACGACAACAAATCGCTGAGTTGCGATCCTATCGAGTAAGAGTAGGCGCACACCGTTGATTTTTCGTCGGCCGATAATTTAGTCGTGCTGTTGATCAGTATGGGAGTGCGCACACTACGCCGATTCGATTTGGCCGATTCTTCATACAAATTAAAATCGGGCACAACTATCGGCCAACTAAAAATCAACGGTGTGCGCCTACTCTTATCGTTCTATCGAAATGACCCTTGTGAATACGGATTTAGAACTGTTTTTCAATAGGACGACTTCTAAACGTCAACGAGATTTTGACTGTGTGAATACGTGAATTAGGCCACTGATCTTTATTACATTAGAATGCGCGAAGAATTTGTTAACTTGCTTGAACGCGCTAACCTTAGGATCTACTGCTCCGATTTGATTTTTTTTTGTGTTAGCACCCTACAGTCAATAATATAAGATAAATTTATTGAATAAAAACTTAGCCTAAATACAAGAAACTTAAATGGGACTATGAAATTATTTGGTTAGTAACAATAATGTTAATTAAGGTAGTATACCTAAACTAAGCAAAAATGTTTGCCTGTGTTTTAGGTATCCATACTTATTATGTAAGTTAGTGCTTATTAAACAGATATTATAAATAATTACACCAAAACAATGTTGATAAAAGTAAAAGTTGACAATTTTGTTACATAAATAAAATTTTGTTGTAAAATAGGGGCGGAGCAGTAAATGAAAATGTTGCAAAAACGGGAAATATTATTCATGCTATTTTCACGCGTACGAAGTCGCAGGCACAGCTAGTTATACAAAAAACAACATGCTTTATGCAATAAAATGTTATTTATATTATCAATCCTAGATACATCGTATTTATTGCTCCTTGAAACCTATACGCAGCCGATTTCCTAAAAGTGGAGTCGGCTTTATAAATATTTATTTAAACGCACCACTTGCATCTTGCCCTTGCTTAAATTTGTATGCATTCGTGATGGACACGCGTTCATGAACATCTGTATTTTGTACTGAGAAATAGAATTTCACACACTTCCGTGCAAAAAATGTATAGCGCTGCAAAAGGCACCCACTGAAAATCAGTGTCTTGGCACTTTGGCAGTCACACTGTCAAGATTATACTGAGTGGGTGACCTTTTTTGGCAACTTAGTTTTTTTTGTGATGTCTATGTTGCCTGAATTTGTTGTTGCCAAAAAATTCGTTATTTTCTTTCTTTCAAATCAAGCACTGGTTTAAACATAACCATAGACAGAACTTTATTCGCACCATATTATTGTCTGTGAACACTTCTCTCACCAAACTCGGTGTAGAATAAACAAGGACAAGGTAACTGAGTCCTACACTCTTCCCATTGATGACGTATAAGGCGAGTGAATGAGAAAAATAAATATGTATGCTTATTACGTCATCCCCACCCCTCTGACCAGAGCGTGAGTGTAAGCCTAATCCAAGATTTGTCTCAGTGTCAAGTTCAGTGTAAAAATTTGAATTGAAGAATACAGAATATGAGTAGTGTGTTATTGGGCGTTCTAACTCACATTCGTTCGGTCGCAGTTTGCGACCTCACTCTGTGCGTTAGATCGCCCAATAACACGATCGTAAGTAAACCATGCACGATGAATATGAACCTTTTTCGAACTACATCTTTTAACCATCGACGTGAGTATATTGTCCTCAGTTCTTTGAAACCCACCGATCACAACAGTCAAGTTAAAAAATTCTGTTATGAAATTTCTGAAACAAAAAGAATCACTTAAATTGGAATGCGTCTGTCCTGAAGCATCGAACGAGCTTAAGCGTCACGGGAAATTATTGCCAAATACTATACGTAGTATCGTGTGCGGTCCATCGAACTGTGGGAAGACCAATTTAGTTATCAGTTTATTGTTACATAAGGATGGACCACGTTTTCGTAACCTGTATGTGTATTCTAAGTCTTTATACCAACCCAAGTACGTATTTTTAGAAAAAGTATTGGACAAGGTTGCAGGCACATCTTATAACAAGTATAATCATAATAGTGAAATTTTAAGTCCCCACGAAGCATTGCCTGAGTCGATTATCATATTTGACGATGTTGCTTGTGAAAATCAAAACAATATACGCGATTATTTCGCCATGGGTCGGCATAAAAACATTGATTGTTTTTATATGAATCAAACTTATACTAAAATACCTAAGCAACTGGTAAGAGATAATGCAAATCTTATCATATTGTTTAAGCAAGATGATATAAATCTAAGACACGTTTACGACGAACATGTTGGGTCTGACATGTCATGGTCACAGTTTCGTGAAATGTGCTCAACTGTATGGAGTAAACCTTACAGTTATGTGGTTATCAATAAAGATTGTGAACGAAACAAAGGCTGTTATCGAATGAAGTTTGATACATTCATAGTAATGGACTAAACTTTTTATAAGTATAGATGTTAAGTTATCAAACATTCAGTTTAATTGGAGAAGTCAAACAGAGCAGGAATCTGTAGATGACATAATAATCAATAAAATTATTTGGCGCGTTCCACACATCAAAGTTTCAGACCGTGAGAGGATAAACCTATTGAAACACTTGGAGAAAGATCGAGCTAT